TTCAGACTGCTGAACTTTGGGCAGGCTTTTTTCACCTCCTAGTTAGAGCTGAAGTGCTTGGAAAACAAGAGGAGGGAAGCGGTGCTCACGTCTGGGCACACCGACATCGTTTCACTGGCGTGTAGTACTTAGAAAGCAATGCCGTGGGTTTCCGTGCCCTTCTCTGCCGCGTCGGGAGCTGTAATGCCTTGTAAAAAGAAACAGAGAAAACAGCATGGTTAAATCAAGGGGGAAATATCTCCTTGGAAGAACCCACCGGCGCAGCCTCTGCGGGCAGGCCGGGCTGGGGGTCGCTGGGGAACAGAGAGGCAGAAGATGGTTCAGTGACCTGCTTTCCCAAAGACAGTCATTTTTTCCACTGTGCTGGACGCGAAAAGCAGGAGGGAAGTGGCGATCTGCTGGCAGTGCTTAACGTTCGCAGCAGGCATTGTGCCCTGCTGCTGGTCACGAGCTGCCGGGTTGTGGCGTGTGAGCAATAAAGGGAAGCAATCAGAGCAGCGTAAGGGTGCGAGACTGAATAGAGTGCTCTCTTGTATTTTTAGAGGGCGATTTCACTTGGCACTGGCCGCCTTTATTCTTGCTGGTTATCCACAGAGATGCACCGCTGCTGTTTTTACCAAGATGGGAAACCGGGAAGTCTGTGCAATCCCTCATTTATCTTATTTTGAAAGGCAATTAAGTGGTTATCATTGCTGAGGATACGTAATCGGGGCAGTAATGTCTGGACTTTGAAAACAGGGACCTTGAGGCAGCAAACTTGGTTCTTGGTCTGGCTCCCTGCTCGCCTGTCGCCCGGCTCCGGCGGGGATTTCGCCATCGCTGGCTGCGTACCGCTGTCGCCCGCCGTCCCGAAGCAAGGCTAAATGAGCAAAAGCTGGGCACGGGGGGTAAACGTCATTTTCCCTAGCAGGAAGCAGAGCCGCTGGGTCCACGCAGCCTGTGGCCCTCGAATCCCAAGCGCTGCAGAACGCCTTTGGGGTGCAGAGCAGAAAGCAACCTGGTTATTCCCCCTCCTCCCCTTTCTCATTTTGGCTTGCTCAATTTTTTTATCGTCATGGTAACAGGGAAATTTTGTGTAATGGCTGATAGATGCTTGCAGCTCTCTTTCAAGTCTGAGGGGAAGGGGCACCGAGAAGCTCTTTAAAACCCACCGTGACCCGCTCAGCGTTGCGCTGGCCCGGCTTGCGCTGCGTGCGATGGCGTGGGGCACCTTCCCTCTCGAGGCAAAGGCGTTTTGAAAAGGTTCGCACCAAACCTCCTCGGGGCTCTCGCTCTCCCTTGAGGCGTATCCCGGCGCGGATTCCTCTTTTCCCACCTTCAGGCTGGAAGCAGGTCTCCTCGGCAGGTTGTGTCCCTGACTCTTTTTTTGTCTTTTTTCTTCCCAGCTCTGAAGCGCGCAGACCCGGCGCTGCTATGGGAGGCTCTGCCGGAG